AGCGCGCATGGCGGCAGAAAGCTCCGGTTTGGAGCTCTGATCTACCGGAGGGGCAGCAGCGGAGACCCCCTCTGACTGGGACGGATCCATGCTGCTCCTGGAAAAGAGGTTTTCGGCTTAGTTTCAGTGCAGCATCTTGTTGTTTTATAATTGACAGCTAGAGGCTTCCGTTGTTTTTTTTCTTTTCCGTTTTAGTTTAGATGTAATGCTGCCACCTGCCGACTCGGAGTGAGAACAGCACAGCAAACTTATGCAAGGTCAGGATACAGTGGTTAAAAAAAACAAAAAAAACATTTCTATATTTTATTACAGTAACACAAATATCATTGCGATTGATTTATATATTAATATAAGCTTTTCACTAAAAATGCATCAGCAAGAATTTGATGATTTTTCAAATTAAGAGACTGTAAATTGTTCTTGGCAAACAAGATCAAATGAATTTATTCCAGTTTCTTTGGGTTTTGTACAGAGATGGTTCTAAAAATGTACAAGCTGGGCCAGTATTATTTTAACGGGTGCACAAGAAAAACAACGCAAGAAACTGGCCAAGAGTGCATCATTTAGTGCATCAAGTGAGCCAAAAAAATGGTTGCAGACCCCTGGTGTAACAGATGAAAACTGTGATCCTATCGTGGTACTAGTTTAAAGCTAACTGGAATTTTAAAATAATTTTAAAAAGTAAATTGTAAAGATGAAATATTAAAATTGTTTCAAGGGACAAATCAGTTACAATCTGACAGCACATCATACATTTATTTTGCATTACACAACAAAAACAGATCAAACAGTGATTTTCTTTAGAAAAAAAGTGTACTCGCCCTCGATTTGAGCAGATAAATGTAATTAGCTTTTGAAGGAATATTTATTTTTGCTCTTAAAATGAGATAAATATATATTGTGTTTTTTTTCTCTCCCTATTTTAGTCCTTAACCATCTTATTCCATTTGGAAATTGTCTTACTTACCTACTCAAATCAGGGGAAATAAACTTCTCTCAAGAAATATGTACTATTTTTGTGGTGTAAGTTTTCTGACCCATCAGTATTTTAAGTTTCCTAAAGATTTTCTTCAAGATCCATCTCTGTTTAGTTCAGTCCTGCTAATTTCTTGAAGGAAGCTTAACCTTTAGATAATATTTCCCCCATTACCTCAATAACTTGATGTAAACTAGAGTACTTTCTGTGTTTAAACACAGACATTTAAGTTGTTTAAGTTAAAATGACAGCAAGATAAACGCTTCCCAAAGATTGTTTGCTTAAGTCCTTAAAGATTAACTTAGAATTACAAGTTGTTCAGTTTTAAACTGTAAGGTAAGTATTTATGTCACAGTAAACATACAAACACACCTTTTACCTGACAACTACATCCTAACAGCTGTATCAAAGCAATTGTTGAATTTAAGTTAACAATATCTCCATAGGTTATACTAAACATATTATGAGGGAACCTGTGTTAAAACTTGCATAAAATTCTTGACTGAACTGTTTGTCTTAATAAAATAGAATGAGTTCACAACATTAAAATCTGACCAAACAGATCACACATTTAGCTTAGGGTGCAGAATTGTCCCCATGTAACGCTGCCTTTCCTGCATCTCTATCTGTAAAAAGACATGAGAAGGAATAAACGATTAAACAATTAAATGGTAAATTTGCTAACAGAAGCCTCAAAACACAAAAACTTCTCAGAAGAACATCCTTGGTTTGGCAGAATATCCAAGGAAGGAATTTTTCATTTCAAATTGAAGAACTTTTGTTTTGAAATCTGAAAATTTTAGTGAGAAGTTTTTATTTAATGTTAATCGATGATGTTCTCTACATATTGTAGTATTGGTATTAAAGCTTACGGACTTTATTCATTTCCCATTCCTGTATTTTTCTTCTTTTTTTCACTGCTAACTTAAAACCCCCACTTTACTTAACTCTTTCGGTTAAATAAATGAGGGTTGATATTATAAAATTGTCAAAGAGAAGACTTTAACACTGTAACTTTACCTCCCACAATCATTCATGGTTAAGTTTTGAATCTAAAACTTGATAGAACAAGTCTTACAGAGTGTATGTTAACTAAAATACCTAAACAGGGCTGTAATGCTGCAGCTTTCTCTGAACTCTGGGCAATTCTTCCAGTGCCATCTGAGAAAATCTTTTTCACAGCACAATGCAGCCACCCTGACCAACAGTTTGCTCAGAATGACCTGCAATAACAATGTCAGACCTAGTATATTTGAAAATATATCAGTTGTGCTTCCTTACAACTGCACATTCTTCTGTCCATTTGCTGTTGCCTACATGCCCTGTGATATGCTTAAACAGAAAGGAGGCTTTATCTTTACAATAGCTTTCATATTCCTTGATATCTATAGAGGTAAATTATTTGATATTCACAGTTAACGGTTTCCCTGTCTGTAGATCCTCCCACCTGACCTGTTGATCTCTGCAGCTCCTCCAGAGTTACAAGTTTATTGGTAACTTTTCTTATGATTGTTGGTCTTGCTGTAAGTTTCAGATACACTGTAAAAAGTGACCCAAGTGTTGTCTTATTTAAGTTTTTCTTTAAATAAGTGCACTTGATTTTAGTAGGTAAAGTAAAATGATCTGTGCACTTAAAAAGAGGGTAAAACATCTCCATTATCTTATTTTAAGTGCAATCTATTTAATAATATTATTTTAGCCATAATCAAAAATATGGAAATGTTAATGTTCCTAAAAGAAATTTATAAGGCACTTTAAGTCTAATCTTCTTTGTAAACAATGAAAAATCCAACTGAATATGCACCAGTAATTATTTACAGACCTATTTGGAATAGTTAATCTGTCAGGGAGCTAATGAGAACCTTTGTATTAATATATTAGGGAAGATGGTCTTAACTAATGGTCTTTCCCCTGAGAAAATAACCCACACAGTAACAACCTCTGTGTTGTTATGTCGTCCATTAGACGACAAGGACAGCACATGCCCTCAGATGTCACGGAAAAGGCATGTGGATAAAAAGGTGAACAGGTGAGTATTCTTGCTGTCCTCAGATGTCCAGTTAATCTCTGCCCCATCGTGCCCATTATGGCAGCAGGCCACTTATAACTCTGTAAGGAGCTTGTGTCAAAGTAAAGCCCTGCAGAAAACTGGTAGATGACACTGCAAATCTGACTGATGTTAAAAGGAAGCTTAATGTTTACTTTATACTTTAGGTATGCAATGCTACAGATACAGCAGTTTCACAGGTGCCAGGGCTAAATTAATCTTAGATCCTGTTTAAAGGCAGGTGACATGATTCATGCAATAAATGGATAAATTGTCTGCAATTTCGTTTTTTTTTTATTTTAATATATTTTAGCGAAATAAGACATTTATTTTTACAGTAGGATTTTAACACTACATAAATATGCTTCCATATGTTTTTAATAGATAAGAACAACGGGGATCCCATTATCACCCTTTCATATGACTGTTTCTTGTATTCAAGTGATTCATATATAAAGAGAAATGGGTTGTAGAAAAACAGCCTAAACTGCAGAATAAACTAATCAATTAGCTTAAAACCCTGAAACTCAGTTAACAAATGCTTTCCTTAATATTGGCCTAAAATCCAAAGGTGTCAAACATGCTTACAATCCTTGTTTAGGTAAAAGTACAGATACCTGTTTAAAAACAAAGACTGGTAAAAGTAAAGAATGAACTCCTTTACTGAATTTTAAAGAAGTACACTTTCTACAACACACTTTGGTCTTAAGTTATACAAAATAACTTCTAAACATTATATCTTCCTGAAAAAATATGCTCAGAAAATGGATTCAATCTTTTTCTATTTTGCTCTCTGTGTTGGTAGACAGAACATCAAAAACTGACAGGTTTTGTTCTGAATTAAAATTTCAGGTAGGAGAATATAGACCCGACTGGACTGACATCCTGCATGAGCAGTTAAATACTTTTAGCAAGATGACTACTTTGAGAAAATAAGGAGTAGAAAGTACAGATATTTATGATCAAATGTAGTGAGTGAATGTAAAAGTCCTCTGAAAATAAATATTCACCATAAAGAGCTACTTATGTACAGTAAACCAGTATTTATACCTACCGGTATTTAGATTATACATCTGCTTAGATCGAGCATGACTTATTAAACTGTGTGGAAATGTAAAAATTGGGTGGAATATAAATGGGTAGAACAGTGATTACATTAATTACTGTTTATTCTATTTGTTAATAAAACATATTCAGTAAAGAAAAAGCATGATAAATGCCTATTGTCCAATTTTGTTCAAAAACAAAAATTTTAAGTGTGTATAAAACAGATCAGTTTGCAGTGTGGTAGGAAAACACAAATATAAAAATAAAAAAGTCTTATTCAGCCATTAAACAGAATTTTTGATGACTTTCATCCCAGGGTTCATATAATTTAACATTCTAGACATTTCCATAAATATCAGATCATATAAGGGCCTACGTTTTTTCTTACAATTAATTTGAGGGTATCTCTATCTGAACAGATTCTGCTCCAGTTTTATTTTTGGACACTTTCTCATTCAAAAGTCTCATTCAACTTTTTCTTTATTTTCATGACTATGCAAACTTAAGATTCACACTGAAGGCATCAAAACTATGAATTAACACATGTGGAATTATATACTTAACAAAAAAAGTGTGAAACAACTGAAAATATGTCTTATATTGTAGGTTCTTCAAAGTAGCCACCTTTTGCTTTGATTACTGCTTCGCACACTCTTGACATTCTCTTGATGTATTGTATATATATATATATATATATCTATATATATATAGATATATATATATATATATATATATCTATATATATATACTTTTTAACCAGAAACTGCTGAAAATCAGCGGTGCTTAAAGCTTTTATATGGAAACAATCCGAGCATGTGTTTCATTCAAGTGCATTTATTTATTAATTATTTGTTATCATATCATGATTAGTTTTTCCTGGCTTTATAAAAACACAAACCTAATAAAAAAAAAATCCCAGAAACAATGCACTTAAAGAGAGGGATTATTTTATTGTAGAACATCAACATATTTTTTATTAACATCAGTACATGCTTAAAGTATTTGCAATTGTTGCTGTTATTAAGTCTCTTTTGAAAGTCTGTATACATTTAAAAAGAAAAAGATGAAAAAGACAGAGATTTTCTACGTGCACACATTGTTTCACCGCATTAAACTCTAGTCCCAGAATCAGAGCTGGGTCACAGACTGACTGTAGGGATATTTCTGACTTAACGTGCACAAAAGAAAACAACCTCCTCTTTCAGATGGCAATGAAGTCATAGTGAACAACACCGGAGATAAATTACAGTACGTATATTCTGTTTAACATAAGTAATTAGCAACAAAAAATCCGAATTACTCGCTCATATGAAACTCTTCAATTTTTTTTATGAATCCTTAATAAAAAAAAAGAAAATTTAAACAATTAAACAAGAATGACACAAAAAATGGGGCTAATCTTTGGTCCCTCACTCAGGGGCAGTTCTTGGAAGAAGGGCACCGTAGGCGAGCACCTCCTTCTGCACCCGAAGAACAGTTTTTTCACAATGTTTTACAGATCTCACAATTTAAAACTGTGATATAAAGAATATTTAATCATAGAAAAATATTTCAGTCCAGGTTTGACCGGTTATGAAGCCAAAAAACAAAGAAAATGACATTTCTGAGGTTTTAGATATAGATTAAATGTTTCATAAATGTTAAACTATGTTTCTGAGGAACTCTATTAAGTGAAGAATAATATGATGAAATATAATCCAGATTCCTTAAAAAAAGAGACCCCTTCAATCAGCTAAGATAAAAAATACAATATATTTTTACCCTCCAGTAGTGAACAACCAGTATCCAACCAGCTGCTTGGACTGTAGCTTCACGGGGGCGCACCCACTCCCCACTGACAAGACTTGCGGTGGCCAACCCACCCCCGATTTAAATAGCATCTGTGGGGGTCAGCACATACAAAAACAACAACAAATGAACAAACATCTCTGCCATCAAGTATTTTCAGTAAAACCAGGATATTGACGTGTTTCCCTTTCTACAGTGGTGCACTTAAAGGCAGCCAGAATGGAGAGCTATGTTCCAACCATTTTTAGCACTCAGAAGCAGATGTAAAGAAAACCAAGGTGTGTTAAGCTATTCAATATTTAATGCATAGTAAATCATGAATGGGGTGAACATGAAGCGTTATCTGAAACCAACGTCAAATCATTGACAATCAACTGTATTAGTCTATCATATTGCAAACCAAAATCTGAAGTTTTGTATACTCTTTACATCTCAAAGTCTAAAAAAGCAGCTATCAAAAATAAGTTCCCTTGGCCATTCTTTTTTTTTTTTTTTTTTTTTTTTTTGTTCTATGACACTTTCCTTGATCTCAAAGCCAAAGCTCCTCTGGCATTGAAACGATAACATGTCTCTTCGAGTGTCCATATCATTTATATTCGTAATGACTTCACTGACTGGTAGAGTTTCTTTTTTCACTGTTGCAGTTTTTGTCATTCATTCTGAAAGAAAAGTTTTTCCCCATCATCCAGTTTCCATTGTCTCTCCATTTATTGTTTCAGCAGGTCTCAGACAGTCCTGACTGGATGTTTCACACAGTGCAAAGTGTCTCCTCATTGGGAGGCCTAAACAATAGGCCTACATGGCTTTGTGAAACTGCTATGATGCAACAGCTTGAACCAGCAGCATTCATTTAAAAGAAAACTTCTGTTTGAACCACATCAGCTTGTAAGTGTGTACATGTGTACATATATATGTATATATATATATATATATATATATATATATATATATAGTGTTTGTGTGTATGCAGTAAAGTTATTTATGATGAGCATGTTGTAATAACATACAACTGGTCGTATGTTATTGCACTGTTAAAGAGCAAATTTCAGCTTTCAGTTCATCAGCAGGAGTTCCTCATTTAGATGGTGATTGGGCACACGATAACTCTGTCCTCCAGCATGACGCTGACCACCAGGAAGACGAAGTAGAGCAGGAACATTAGGAAGCCCAGGATCTTGCTCATCCTCCACTTGCAAGCCGCGATGGAAATGATGACAAAGAGGAGCATAAGGAAAAGGAGGACGATGGCACAGAACAGGCCGTTGCTGCTCACTTCCACAGGCTTGAAGTCGTTGATGATGTTGTAGAGGAGCCATGGGAAAGGCAGGCTGGTGGAAGAGAGAAGAATATAGATGCTCAGGTATTCACAGAGATTTAATTAGTATCTATTAGACAATGTTCAATGGGGGACGTACCCAACAGTGATATCGAAGATGTTTGAGCCCACGGAGCTGGACACTGCCATGTCACCCAGGCCTTTTCTTGCCACAATCACACTTGTGATCAGGTCAGGGATGGATGTGCCTGCTGCTAAAATGGTCAAACCCATGATTTCCTCTGTGATCCAGAAAGTTTCTCCAACCTTGAATAAAGCAAAGATGAAAACATTTTTCTTAACGTTCCTGTATTAAATCATCAGTGCTATTCTTTTTTCACACTTTCAATCAGTAGCTCAGCATTAAAAACAGTCTGTACAGGTTCACATTTAATTAGAATTTTTAGAACACTTTATTTGCCTTTGGGATTCCTTTTGGAGTAATTTGTGGGAACATTTTTTTAACTGAATAAACTCTTTGGACAGTTGATTTAAAGAATACAACTTAATGAGTTTATACTAAATAATTACAGGACTCAAAAAAGACTTTCAGTTCCTTCGATCCCTAGGAATGACAATCAATATGACCACTATACTAATATTGTTTAGAGTATGGAGATCCCTCCAGATCTCCGTACTTTGGACTCCTTCCCTCTTTTCAAATCCAGACTCAAAACTTTCCTGTTCAGACAGTCTTATCCCATCTAGTTCTTACGCATCACTCCAATATTGTTCTCTTCCTTTTCTTCCTTTGGTTTTATTTTACTTCCTGCTGTTTTGTTTTCTGTGGCATCTTTATGCTTGTACTTTTTAGCTTCCTGTGTTTAATGTTTTTATCTGCCTGTACATTGTCCTTGGGTGTTGTGATAAGGCGCTTTCAAATAAAATGTATTATTATTATTATTATTAAGCTTTTTTAAACAAATAAACTATGTCGGTATCTTAAATAACTGCACAATAGTTTGCAAACTTTCCCTGTGGCACAAGTAGAGATAAGGCTTGTTTTTCTTCACATTACAGTTTGGGCATTGATGCTATATTGCAGTTTCTTTTTGTAAACCGAGAATAAACAGAATAAAATAGCATATATATGTAAAGCAATAATTATTTAAAAAGTACAAAATTCCTCCCCATGAAGGACTGTGTTGGCATGGTAATGTTTTCTCGGAGTTATTTGGCTCATTCTAATCTGATGCAGGATGCCATTCCTCCTAAAGCACAGTAACTTTTATCCGGTTAATGCAATACAAGGACAAATTTCTATTTTCATGATGTTATCTGCAATTCTCTCCCTAAGAACATCTAGAACATATACTGAATTCTTCCATCCTGCTGTGGCTGCAATGTTAAATCTGTAATTACTCCCTCTACTTTATAATCATAAATGAAAAACTTTTGCTAAGATGTTCTGCATCTACAGCTGATCTTTTCAGCTGACAATCTTTTAAACAATTCTCTCCTTCTATTTGTGCATCAATCTATAATTTTCTGGCTGATCTATAGTATTTTTGTTTAATCAGAATAAGCTGCTAGAGTAATGCAGCAGAGAAGTGATGTGATGTGTGTGTGAGACCAATACCTTCTGCTATTGATGTTTGAGTGTGTTTGTGCTGATCAGTTACCTGGTGAGCCCACCACACCATCAGGTATGAGAAGAAAGCAATCCAGCAGATGGAGCCAATGAAAGTGATTGGAAAGAACCTCTGAGATGTCTAGAAAAAAAAAAAAAAACAATAACTTTAAAACCTTTAAGCTGCAGGAAACGGAACCTGACTGATTCGTGATTATTTCTGAAGCTTTTATAGAAAAGGAATTAAAATATTTCAGGATTTTAAATAATGCAAACTTAACATTTGAATGAAGGTCTATAACTTAAAACATTTTGTATTTTACATTTATCTCACGCTTATTATAGTTCCTCTACCATCAGCATCACATATTTCATGTGTTAATATATTTATTGTATTTGCTGGAACAGTAATAGTTTGGTCAAAGTACTTGAACATCTATAGCATTTGGTTTTTTTTTTACCATACACTGTAAAAAAAAAATTTACTTTTTTTTTTTTTTCTTAAAATAAATGCATGTTTTCTTGAATCGAGGAGGTAAGTGAGACACTTTGCCAATGGAACAAGACAATTTACATTTAAAATAAGAAAAAAAACATTGCATTGTCTTATTTTAAGTGCATATCATCTAATTATCTTATTTTAAGAGTAATCTATTGGCAAATCATCTTATTTACCTGTTGAAATTATAAGTAAATACACTTGATGTAAGACATTTTTACTTATTTCCAGGTCGTTTCAATGTGTAAAGAGACTCTAATGTGTCTCTTTGAACTGCCTGTATTGTTTAAAGTCAGTGTCATGAGTATGATCATACAAATGAGAAACAATCCAGGATATTAAAAAAAGTTGTCATGATTTTATTCTTAGCATGTTACAGAAATTTTGTCTTTACTGATGACTGTAAAATATCACCATAGCAACAACAGCTCATTCAATAGGCTGTTTTTGCAGCAAAAATATTTGGCGCCACCACTTAGAAAAAACATTCAGAATTTCTATAACTTCAACTGAACTTTTGTTTTATTGTAATTTTATTTCTAACTTTAACTGAGTATCAACAACAACAACAACAAAAAAAAGCTTGGAGCTGTGAAAATCAAGGCCTATGATTTTATTTATTTATTTCATAGCCATACATCAGAAAACCGCTCCTCAAATGTTTATGGGGAATTCAGCTTAATTCAACATAGTCTATCTGTCCTGAAATGCACAGAAGCTCTTTTTGATTTATTTTTAATATTTTTGAAAACAATTATATTGTTTTCAAAAAGCCTTTCTTTTTTAAATTGTTTTTCTTATGTCTTATTTTTGACAAACCATAGCTCTTAGAGTAGGTATAAGATATTATTTAAAGCATTTAACAGTTAAAATGCTGTAAATGTTTAACTTGATTTCCTATATCTGTTGTCAAACAAGTATTGGTTTAAATGTAAATCAGTTTATTTATTCAAGTTTTTTTTTTTTTTTAACCATATCTCTGCTTTTTTGGTGAAAATATTAGGCTTATCAAATTCCAATGCTGTTTTATGCAGAAAAGAAAAGAAAATGCTTAAATAATGATACATGAAACTGAATTGTAATTTTATTACTGATGTAAACTGTCAACCTAATGGCAAGTGTTGTTCCTCCTTCTTCCACCTCCAGGTGGTTCAGCTCTTATCACTCCAACTCTAAACATATGAACCACTATATGTTTCCAGATGTATATCTGGACACATTTAAAGGTATAGAGGACAATCTTTTATTACTGAGTGGATCATCTAAATAAGTGGTCCTCCTAATTGTCAATCATTCTGGTGATATATTTACGTAACACCGTCCTACGTGTTTGTCCCATTAGCTATCTTTTTCTACGCATGCGTACTTTCAGGTGTATATCTGTGGTGAGCTACGGTTTCAGACAGCCATTGAAGCTCACCTTTCTAACCGTGGTTCAGAGAGAAAGAAAGTGTAAAACATTATAGGATTTGCAGTTACAGCGCCCGCTGTAACCATAGGCTGTTGCTACCTGACAGCGGCGACTAATAACAGAGATAGGGCCGGATTTATCAAGATCCAATTTTGCGTGCAGTAATTTGCGCTCGCAAACTGGAATTTTGCGCGAGGGGCTGAACTATGGTTTGCGGGTGATTTAACAAGAGTGATTGCGTAACTGGTGGCAGGTGCAAAACTGTTGGAGACGCCCTATTTAAATGATGGTTTTGCGCGTTTTGTGGTTTGCGGCAAAGTAGTTTGTAGTCTGTACAAACTAGTGCATTAAGAAATTTAGATCTTACAGTGACCCCCAACAAAAAAAATAAATAAGTAAATAAATAAATAAATAAATAAATATATATATATATATATGTATATATATATATATATATATATATAAATTGGCAACCTTTATTCCCTAAGGTGGTATGTGCTGCAGTAAAAAAAACAACAACAAAAAAACAGGTGTTTTGTATTGGCCTGTGACTGTGGATGAGATCCCCGCAGCATTTGGCATGTTGCTCCACAGGCGCAGGGGGAGAACCCCGACCCCGTCGGACAGCACTTCTGAAAAACGAGATTGGGAGATCCCAGCTCACGCTGCAACCGTACGCTGGAATGACCCAGATGCAAAAAAGTGCAATGTTGCAAGGAGTTTTGTGATATCTGGTATTGCGTGGGTCCTCCTTGTGGCTGGCTTCAAATCCATTCGGAGTTCCCCCAACAGCTCCAAAATGGCAATGCTGGATAAACGATATGTTTGGATGATCGTTTCCTCCTTCATTCCAAAAATATTCACACGGAGTGAAAAAATGCGTTCTCTGCGTCTCCTTGCTTTATTTCCATGTCTCCTTCTTGCGACAATAACCGCTGCCATGTGTGCGCAATTACGCATACAGACCATTTGCACCTTCTTTTGAAACATGTTAAATATAGAGTCAGATACCGTTAGCAAAATTGCGTTCAGGTTTGATAAATCACTTTGCGAGTGCTAAATTAATATATTTACATGTTCTCCTCCCACAAGACGCACTTTAGCGTGTAAACGCCCCATATTGCATATTCATTGCAGAAAAAGTACTAAATGGATAAGAGGCGCTATTTAGCACGTTTTAAAGACCAAATCCTTTTAGCACGCTGTTGATAGATCAGTTTATACATTTTTTAGCGTGCGCAGTGAAATAGCTCACGTTTTAATACACGCAAACCTTTGATAGATCCGGCCCATAGTGCAGGAACTGCGCAGTGGAGGAGGAGTTACGTGACCAACGGAGCAAAAAGTAATCATTTGTCAAATCAAAGTGATCATTTGTCCGAACAGTCAACTGCGTTCACTATAAAGTTCACTATATTGTCCCCGCTCTATAAAGTGATTGAGGGATTTTATGGGTTAGGGCGGACATTCGGTCACAGTAAGCTTGAATGAGCTATGAGAAAAGCAACTTTTAAACAGAGCATGTGCGAGGAGAAATGGGCACGTGCACGCTCTCGCACTAGTTTTAATTGGCATTCACCCCTGGGAGCAGGTACAGGGTTGCGCAATTCAAATCATTTCATGATTTCAATTGTCCTTGAAAAGTTAAAATTTTCCAATTAGTGTTAGGTGCTGGATCATCTCAATACATCAACCCTTTAACACTGCTCAGAACAGTAATGCTGATACAGGAATTAGACTTTTTGTACTTTTAAAATTAGCTTATCATCTTTTTTTTTTATAGCTTTTAACTTTTTTAATTAGCCTACTGTTATACTTAGCTTATCAACTTAAGAACTTTTTATTAATTTAACTAATTGACTTTTTATTACAACTATTTCAGTCGGCAACATATAAAAAAAAGCAAGGCAACATTACATAATTTATATATATGTACCGGTATATATATATGAATCTGTTAAACTCAGCTTTAAACAGAAGTAAAACTTGCAGATGCCCTGATCACATTTGACCTCACATGTTTGCCTTGTTTGCTTCAAAGTGGTGTTTATAGACAAGTTACCAAAAAGTGTAACTTAGAAAATAAGGGATTACGCTAAGTATAATTTCTTATTGTGTAAGATTGAATTTGGTAGGAAAAATGTGGTTTTACTCACCTCTCTCCTGACATCTGGCAATGTGAGCCAAAGGGGAAGGATGATGGGAAGGATTAAGAGATAGGTGATCTGTTTTCTGAGGGTATCAGGCCAGGCCAAGCTCAGAGGCTGGTCTTCATCTTCCTCTTCCTCCCCCTCCTAAGGAGAAGGTAAATGTCTGACACTGTATGATGGATAAACATTTTTTTCCATCTTCTAAGCAAATATCCCCATTGCAAGGTTTGTAGGTATAGATTTCATTTATTCAAAGACGTCATGCAGATTTGAATCAATGTGTAAAGACAGATGTAGAAAAACAGCATACCAGGTCTCCTACTGCCACTCCATTCATGGGGGGCGTCACCTCCACAGCAACCTTTGAACTTTTTTGGGAGGCTTTATCAACTTTAAGGAGAAAAAAACAAAACAAAAAACAAACTAGTGAGTTTTTTTAAGTAACAAATAAATCAGCTAGTGTGTCTTTTTGTTCCGTTACACACCTACACCATTGGCAGTGGCAGCATCTTCTTTGCACTTCTTTTTGGCCATTTTGTGGAGGATGGATGCCTTCTCTTTAAACTGTCCTGCAGGGGAGGACACAGATGCTTCTGTCAGATCAGAATGAGGAGTGTGAGCCATGCAAGAGAGGTGGATTTAGGGAAGAAAGTTTATTTTTAATCAACAACAAAATCAAAGAGTTGTTTTTATTTACACATGTACACAACAAATGTCACCTATATTTTCTTTACTTGAGTAAACTATTAAATACATGTATAATTCACAGCGTCTACTTAGTTAACGGTATAGTGGAGGATGTTCTTTTTCCTGGTGGATCATCAAAGTAAATGGTCCTCCTAATTGTCAATCATTCTGGGGATGCTTTTACGTAAGGCCGTCCTACATGCTCGTCCCCATTTTCACTTACCGGTTGTGAGTCTGACATAGTGGAAAAATTGCAGATCTTCTTTTGGGAAGTAAGCGTGTATGAGCGATGAGAACAGCAACTTTTAAACAGAGCGTGCACGAGGAGAAATGGGCTCATCCATGCTCTTGCATTTAATAGAGGGAGCGGGTCAAGATTTGTGCATGTGCATTTATTTTAAGTGAAAAGGGCGGGTCTTTTAAAAAAATGTGTTAAAATTCTCCACTATACCTTTAATGTTACCGTAGTTCTTTTTCAGATTAAATTGATTTATAGCACCTGTAACAGACCTAATATGTTAAATTTATTCTCGTTGTGTACCTTCATTACTGAGGGGGTCCAGTGTGTGAATCATGAGCTGGAAGATGCTGTTTCTCATCAGGGAGTTGTGCAGCGATGCACAGCTGCCTTCCCTCTGCAGCCGGGGTTTGGCCTGTAAAATAAGCAATAAAACAAAGAAACAGATTAGAATTAATATACATATATTCTTTATATATCTCACATTATTTATAGAAAAAAAAATACATATGTCTTTGAAATGAACAGTTTTCATCTAAAACCCAGATTATACTCTAATAGAAACATGCAAAGCAAACTCACTGTCAACTTGTTCTCATCGTCTCCTGGTGCGTTTACCTTTAGAATTAAAATAGAGGAAATGTGTGTTAATGCATTTTAGAAGTCGTTCCTCGCAGATGTAGCTCACACAGGTTAGCAGAGGATTAAAATAATAATGAGACTCTATCAAGGGTTAAAATATCCAATAATATATTTTTTTACTTATTGATGCTGTATGCATGATGTATCTGTGCTTATGATACATTTTATCTATAAAGTGTTAAAAAAATATTTGAAAAACACAGCAGTAAGTTATGGTTATGAAACATTTGTTATTCTTACTACACTGTTTTTATTACCTTATTTTCTCTTTGTTAGTTTTTATTACACATATGTGTTTCATCTAAATGGTAAGACGGAAAGAATACAGGAAAAAGAAGACATCTAAAGCAGTGAGCAGAACAGCTGGTTCAAATTTAGTTTTTTTTTTACAGCTGGAAAAATAGATAGAAATAGACTTAATACAAAACACTAATGTAAAAAAAACAAACCCCGAAACCTTTTGCCCTAATACTTCATCACCTCTTCACAACTTGAAAAAAGAACTTTTAATTATCATACAACAAAAATAAAATCATCAAGCATTTTAATTAATTCCTGCCACACACTGTGGACTATGGATACCGTCACATTTCTGCAGTCAATAATAGAAAATAAAAAAAACCTGAGATGAACAGTGTTCATTGCAAATTTCTTCATTCCCTGGTTCACAGGAATCTCTCAAAAGAGGATAAAGGAATATTCAGGAGGTATCAATTTAGAAAAAAAAAACGCTACTCTTTTTTTAATTTTGATCAATTAAACGTTTTTTTCAATTTATTTTATTGCCTTATAAAGAAGCTGTAAAAAAAAATAATAATAAAGCAACTAAATATAAACTCTGAGCCTTTGAGTTTGGGAGGCTTCTTTAACATTACCCTAATCTTTTACCTTTTTCACAGATTCTCCATCAGATTCAAGCTATGCATCTATCAGGCCTTCTCTAAAACATTACTACACCCAGTTAAACGATAAATGCAGAGGAAATAAAACAATGATCTTGGGTTTAAAATCAAAGGACAGATTGAAAATATGCTGGTTTAAAGGTTAGATATTTATTACATAGAGTTCTTATCAAACTTCTTGGAGCATTTCAGGGTGCAGCTATTTCAAGATGGTAGACTGTACACCCTGATTTACCAGTAGGTGAGAAATCCGATTCCCTAATAAAGTACATAATAAAAACTCCACAGAAGTTCAGTGCTGCCAATATAGTGCTATATTTAAAGTTCCTTCTTTGGGGATCCATTGTTGGCACAACTTTTCATCTGAAAAGCTTCATACGATAATTATGCAACTAGAGAAACACTGTGATGTGACAGAGAGCAAGCTTGAAATGGGCCCCGGTATAATCTTAGTCTTTTAAACTTACAATATGAAGGTCAAACTGCTTCAATTATTTTTTCAGGCTATAAACAAATTTTAAAACACTGTTTAAAATCAGACAAAATCAGAGCTCCTTAGAAAAAACTACTGCTGTTATTGAAGATACTCCTGTTATTGAAGATATTTTTATTTTATATAATTTATATTTTTATCTTTTAATATGAAAGTAAAACCAGCATCAAATTTAAGATCTGAAATTAAAAATGTCTAAAAAAAAATTATATTTAATTATTACACCTAAAATTAAAACAAAACTATATGCTTCTAAAATTGTAGGCACATGCTTTGAAAACAAAGAGAAGGCATTTATAGAAAAATCTAGTGTTTTAAAGGTTGAAATATTCATAGAACTTATTTTATAAAATATATAAAAACTAAAGTGGAAGTAAATCAGGACTGAAATATTAACAGTATTTGTGATCATCTGCGATCAAATCAGTACAATTTAAAAACACTATGCTAATTCCGTAGGAAAAATAAATTTTATATTTAGAACAATCAGTTTTTCAATGAATACTTTTTACTAACCAGATACATTCAGTCCACCAGATATGACAGGTTGGTAAAAGAAATTAAAATGTGATATTATCTTATTCCTTTAAAAAAAAAAACATTTAGACTTAAGCTATTTCCTCGGTAAAACACAACTGATTATAAATCCATTAGAGAGTCTAAAAATGTCTTGGTAGGGGAAAATATATCTAAGAACAGTAAAACAGAAAAAAAAAACAGCTAGAAAACAACTTATCCAAACGCTTTGATATTAATATAGTCATCAATAATGTATTTAAATTTAAAATTTAGCACAGCCTTCATGTATAAAGTAAAAATGGATCCATCTGAATTCATGAAAGCCTGAATATGACTTTTTGATAAATGGTTGTGAAAAATAAAGTCATCAACCTCTAACATTACATTACATTATATTATTGTATTCATGGTCATGCAAAATAATATTCCTTATTTAATTCTTATACTTTATTTTACAATGTTTATATAGAAAGGGTGTAATTTTACTGTATGGGTTGTAACTTGACTTTTTATTTTGTCTTATTATATTATATTTCATTTTGCTCTATTATACTGTACTTACAATCTTATTTTCTCTCTAATGTAAGCGGATGCACTGCAAGAAAAGAATTTCCCGCAACGGATTCATAAAGTGATTCTGATTCTTATATCTGCCATGTTGCTACTCTGCCAAACTGCACTATTCATCTCTTTCCTCATAATATTTTATAATCCTTGCCTTTGTTTGCTCTAACTCATATAATTATAGTCATATTTGTCAGCTGTGTGTCTGCCTCTTTTTGTAGCTTATCACCAAAACAAACATGACTTGGCAATAATCAGATTCTAAAAATATTAACAAATGTCCTTTAGAAAAAGATATATTTAGACAAGAAGTCTAAGGTTTCAAGCACTTCAAGTTAAAATGTAGAAATTTTTGCACCAGAGGGAATCAGAAAGTCCTAAAGCTGCAGTCCCTCTGCTGTGATGGTTCATCATTTTAATCAAACCAGGCTTCTAATTCTAATGTGGCTGCTGTGTACATAAGACAGAGAAAGCTGCAGTAAAATACTGGCTTATGACACCTTTAGCTCTATAATTTTATGTAAGGCACAAAAAATATCTTCGTCTTCAACCAGAGATCAAAAATATTATGTGAAACATTTTTTTATTTAAAGATGAAGGAAAAAAATAAGTAGCTGGAGTGCATCTACAGGTATAAGAAGTAGAGTAGATCTGGCATTTTTCAACATTTTTCCATTTTAAAATCGAAAGTGTTTTTTATTTGTTTTTGTTTTTTTGAAGTAGAGAACAACAATCTTTCAGTTTGGTATACAGACAATTTCCTGATTCACATATTTTATAAAACACCTGAACTGACCATTTTTGTTTTTCTTTTTTCTGTCTTAATAAGAGCAGTGGGCTTTATGCTGCCCTGCAAGGCTTTAAACCTGGGTTTAAATGCAGACAAAGCCATTCTCAAGCACATATCAACATGATCATTTTGAGACTGGAATGATATGTATTTTATATTATGTTCATCTTGGAAAATCCTGCTTCACAGCAGCAGGTTGAGCCAAACATACTCAAAATGTGCAGGGTCATCTCTGAGCACACCATTTCACTTTTCTTTCCAGCAGTCCACACTTTCTCTGCTCTATTTTTCTCATCATCTTCTCCTACTTTCACATCGCCTGGCTTGCCACAGGTTTGCCTGCTGTGTCTAAAAGTAGCAGCAGCAGCAACCCAGACTGACAGCAGCTCTTTGGGTACTCTGGTCCCGGCGCTCTGGAAGTCTTTACCATATAACAGAAGAAGCGGTGCAAGTGAAGTTAGACACTGTCAACAGACAACATGCAGTTATTTAAAAATGTTTTAAATCAGATTGGGTCCAGATTCGCCAGCAGGTGGGTCTGGATCCGGACCCCAGTCCGCTAATCCATGACCTCTGACATAGAGGCTCTGGCTAGCTTGTTCTGTCCTGCTGGAAAGAGAACCTCTACTCCAGTGTCAAACATTTCTCATCACTCAACAGACCCTTTCCCAGGGTTGTTCTACATTTATATAATCTATGGTCTCATTATCTCTGAGCAGCCTCCTAATCCCCGTAGAAGAAGGAGAAAATCCCTAGCAAATGATCCCACCGCCACCGTGTTGAGGTTTATGTTCAGTGTTAGTGATTCACTTGACATACTATTTAGCATGTATGGCATTTTAGTCACATCTGACCAAAGTACCAATTTACACCTCATGGCCTTCAATCCTGGGCCATTTTTCTTAGTGGAGTGTATAACAAGCAGTTATCTTGTAAATAGATTTTACTTGTAGAAAGAGCAGCTTTAATTATCAGATTTAATTACACAAAGGCGATTCCACTGTACAAACTTATTGGATTTCTGAAATTGGTTGCACTTATATTTTATTCTGGAGAGACTGTCAAGGAGACAGTTTTCTGACATGAATGAATATAAATATGTGTTCCCAGGCAGAAGACTCAGACCTGAGCAATGCTCATGATAAAAAAAAATGGGCAGATTTATAAGCATAGAGCCATCTATCCTTCCAGTACTGAACACTGGTGGTGGAATGGAATCTAAATGGAGTCAAAGGTAGGTGGAGGTGGGGCTGGAGGTGGGCTGCCATGGATGAGGCGACATACAGGATGCTTTTTGGCTGCAGGAAGAGAATGGCAGCGGCAGATCTAGATGACTTGGTAGTTGGGAGATGTGAGTAAAGCTTGACAGTCTTTAGACAGATGGCTAAATACAAATATCTGTCACCATTAGTTACTTTCCACTTTAAAATTATGCGATCTCTCTATTGTTTTAGCTTTTTTTATCCCTTAAAAATCATAATAAAATCCAGTGAAGTTTGTGGCTATAACCTAATGAAATATGCAAAAGTTAAGATGCTTTTGAAGGACAAACAAAAATGATGAATTAAAACATATTATTTTTGAGAAGGATAGCTGAGGGTGGATTGTATTGATTCTGTTATTATCTTACAGGATTTCAGGGATTCTGTATTAGGTTAAAAGGTGAGAGACAGTTTTTATGTAAACTCTGTAGTTTTGCAGTTTTTTT